TTGGTTCGGGATCAATTTGTGATTAACATTACTTGTGATAACCTGAATATTAATTAGTTTAATTAGTAATTTGAGTAAGCAAGTGCTTTTAATGCATCGCTGTTGTTTTCCATGATTTATATTTGCATATTTTTATTAAAATTCAGAAAACCTCGTTAACCTCTCGGCCAAACCTCGTGAACCTGCTAGGCATTGTTAAGATCCCATGCAAACAACGTGAACTGTCTCTCAGGATTTTATTGTGACATATAAATGTCACTGTACAACATTATTGATATTTGTCGCATCGGAGGACACACTGAGGACTGGGTGTTTTCGAATAGTTTTCCAAGAATCAAAGAACCGAACCGTTACCGAAAAAGCATCCGACTTGTCGCGCGATTTCACTAAATTAAAACGGGAGACCGCCGCCGCGCCTGGCGGATTAAAATCTATGTTTCCATGAATAAATACGAAATTTCAATTCTTATAGGATTCATAGAAAATTTGAGAAATAAACAAAAATAACATCCTTTAATCGACAACAACGATCATTAACCACTGAAGCAATTAGTCCATCAGTTAAACAGAAAAGCGAATTTTTAATAGAAGAGAAATACTACAAGGAACTGAAAAAAAAGAGACGACAACAACATAATAACAAAACAATCTATATGTATACATTGTGTCCAATAACTTCCAAATACGATAGTGCCAGAGTTTCTTCAACAAACGGTTGTAAAATCAGCTGAGAGAAAGGGTTGCTCACTTAATTACAATTTTAAACATGTCATATGCGCTGACTTTTGGTTGCTTTGTTTCATGTAGTGAAGAATCATTCAATACTCGCATTGTATTTTGTCGTATGTTGGTGCTATGATGATTGAAAGTGTTCATTTTGATACAAATGCATGGACATGGCTACAAAATCACAAGAAAACTGTAATATAAAGTGCAAAAAGTAAATATACATTTAGCAAATACAAATATAAAAAAATATACCGAACGCTTATATATTCGATTTTCATAAATTAATTTCACAATGTGCTGCAATCGCAATGTCTCATTACAGTTTTAAATAGTTTCTTGTAGAATAATTTGAACTAAGGACAAAGGATTGTTGGAGGATTTACATTTACCAAAATGTAAAACAATGAAATACAATTGGGCAATTATCTATATGATATAAAGAAACAAAGGTTCGTATCCTTATTATTCCATCTCAACGTAAAGAGTGGCATCTTCAATAAAATACTCTAATATTCTACTGAAAATAGTAACTTTGTCGATTTTGTGCTAAGAAAATGTTTTTGTGGAAAATGAGGGGTAATATATAGTCTACATGAGCGATAAATATTTTTGTTATGCTCACAAAGGAAACAAGAGAGCAAAACTGAAAATGGATACAAAAGCCATAACGAATTTGTATCAAATGTTTTACATTACCAGTAGTCTGACCGCGGAACTGCTAATTTTGGGTGTCGCTGCTCGATAACCAGTTTTGGTTCTTCGCGGCCTCCCTTCCCCTGTTGAAATGTGTGATTATCTTTTTTCTTCGTATTTTGTGTAAAACTGACTTTTTTACTGGTTGGAAATAATAAAATTGACTTGACATGATGCGCAATTTTAATCACGACATCACACAAAACTTCATATTGAAAATCCAGGGCGTTTTGAATTTCCGACAAGGAAATTTCCTTTTGTTTCTCTACCTTCCCTATACCTTTGTTTTGCTTCTGAACATATTTGTTTTTGTTAATTTATTTTTTGATTGAGGAAAATAAACTCCATTTCTGATCATTCTCTTTCATATGAAATCATGTACCTTCAAAAGAGATGAACTAAAGACTAGAATAAAAAAGAGGGAAGATATAAATTCCTATAACATACGCAAGGTGAGCAAATTACAAAATTTATAGAAAGTATCGGGTATTTCAGAGCTATGATGTCATAATATTATCCAAGAAATATATTTGACTGGAAAGATAATGGATTTTGGCGTAAGCCAGCAATGAGGTTGGTTAGCTGTAATTTCCATATATTTTTTTTACAGAAGTCGAATCAAGTGTTCCTATGACAGTGGTCCAATTCGTCACGTGAACGACGTACCGGTACTTAGCCGATTCTAAGCTCTGTTTTCTATTTTCATTCACAAATAACCTATCTTTCAAGACTCCGATCCAATTAATTTGCTATTGACAGCACATTTGAACCCATACATTTGCACCTGTATATCCGCGGGTTCAATCTATATGCGGGTGCTAAATTCCTGCAAATTTCCAGAGGAGCAATACTATGCAGGTGCAATTGTCGTGGGTTAGGGTTCAAATGCACGTAGGTTCAAATGTAATGGAACCATATTCCCATATCCTGTCTGCCCACTTGCCACATTCCTTAGCGTTCTTCTTTACGTGTCCGAGCGCATCAGTACCTCGGGATATGTTTCAACATAGTGAACCAATTCATAGAAACTAGGCTATACATATATTTGAGTATTTAAAACTTGTAGTACCTTCTTTGTTGCAAATGAATTCGCCGAAATCTTCCTCGTCATATTTTCAATGTAATGCTGAATATAAACTACACCCAAGACATGTTTTCTGTAATTTCCTAAAATTTATTATCTATGATGAGATATGATATTTAGATGGAAAAGCCCAATAATTCAACAACTGATTAATTAAATCATTTATACCGGGTATAAATAGGATTTTGTTCTTTTTAAGCGTTTGTTCTGATTTAAATGTGAATTTGATATGTTACTGAGTTACTGAGCCAATAAGATGTGTTCGCAATATCTATCGATTCATTATATACTATCGAGGAATTTTGAAACTGACAGCATCAGAAGACTTTGAACACACATTTTTTAATTACCGTGAACCTATAGGTCGGAAAACAGTTGTGATCATCTGTTGGAGCTTCGGTTAGGTAAACTGTTCTTTTTGAAATGTTTACCCCTGTTCATTCAAATTTCCTTCGTTGTTTCACTCAAACGTCTCAAAACTGTAAAAAAGTTAAATATATTAACAATCTAAAACAGGATTAAAGAATTTGAAATTATTATTTCACGCGCTTCCGACTACAATTCATAGATAGTTTTCATAAACACAAATAAACAGACAATTATTCGTGCGTGCAAGATTTTTAAACAGTCAATTTGATCGCGTATATGTGTGTATACATGTGTTTTTGTCTCCAGAAAAAAAAGTTTACTTAGGATAATGGAGGATGTACCAAAACATTAGCAGCCATTGCTTGGTGGAACCTAACTGATGCGAGTGGAAAATAGTACTGCTTTTAAAATAGTGTGACATCCTGCTGTACATTAAATTTTTCAATAAATTTGGAAAACGACGGTAGAAGGCCTAGGCCTATATATTTCTTCATATAGGTAAAGCATAAATATGTTCGGGCATCCTCAATGCCATTTTTCAAAATTTTTAAAATAGGTAAAACAAATAGCTTTAGATATATATAAAGAAGTAAAAATGTGGAATGATGACCAAGTGAGTTAAAAAGCATGCCTATCCAGCTCTTCAAAGCAATGTTGAAAGAACATTTGTTGTCAAAATATATATATTAAGATTGGATTTCCTCATGGTATCCATTGTCCCCAACCTAAATTTCAAATGGTCCTGTGACCATTTATAACCTATGTATTTCATCCTTAATAAAGTGTCTAAATAATTCTTAAAAAAATGTTGTGTATTTTCATTAGTATTGTATAATTTTTATTTTACTCAATGTATTTTCATTATTATTATATGTTAAATTGGGGCTCCCGAAGTATGCGAACCAAGATGGCGGACATCGGAATGTAATATGTGTACTAGGTTAGGGTTAGGCCATAATTTTAGCTATAAATACTACGGGAGGCTCTTGGCTAGTCTTCGACCTGATAATAGGACTAAAATAAGGAAAATTGGAAAATAATAATCGCCTAACCCTAACCTGTTACCCATGTTACGTTCCGATGTCCACCATCTTGGTTCGCATACTTCGGGAGTTCCGTTAAATTTTCATTACCAGCGTCCACAAGCCAGTCATTTTTGCTCAATCGATATTATGATTGCTTATTTCAGCATTTATACCTTAACTAAGAACTAACTATTTTCAACCAATCTTTACATTTGAAATCCCAGCCTAGTGTCGCTGAAGTGGGGAATACCCTGATCATCTTATGCTCTCATGGCTTTCTAATATGAACTCAAATATTTAGTAGTCCCCAAATATATTAGTTGATTGATTTTTTTATACAGTATAAAAGCTATACTCTCGACAAAAACATTAACTGAACTCCTCGATCTTTTTAATTAGATGCTAGATCCTTGAGTGTCACTGCTCGATAACCAAATTCCTTGCGACTGTTTGTTTATCTTTTCTCTTCGTATTTTTTCGAAACTATTTTACTGGATGGAAAAAATAAACTTGACTTGATAGGACGAAACTACATGATATTTGATAAAAAAATTTACATCTCGTATATGTCAAAATGTTGCTACAAACTGTGCCCGACTTTGGCTTTTACCGCTTTCGTTCAAATAGACTTTGTTATTACTGTATATATTCCTAGCTCAGATTTGAGACAAAGCATATATAAAATCGGGAACAAATTTGGACTATCAAATTTACTATGCTAGTGAAGGGCATTCGATAATGAGGGTTGGGTGTGACAAAATCTGTAGTCAGTTATTTTTTTTTGGAAGCACTCTCTAAACTAAAGTCTATTCCCGTAAATACGAATAATTAAATAATAATTAATTATTGGACACGTCAGTGTACATAACGATCGTTTCAATATTATGTCGTTGTTCTTGTTATTCTTCCCCTTCGTCATGATGGAATCGCTTTTCTCTTCGAGTACTGGACCAATTGCTTTGAAATTTCCAGTGGGTAAAGATTGATTTTTTTGCTAGAAGGGTATTACTTTTTCCTCTTTCGAAAATTTCTGTGGACTCCGAGAGATTCGTTTTTTATGTGTCAGAATAAAAAAAAAGCGACACCTTGTGACGTATCCATATATTTGAGCATAACTTTCTTGTTAATTCAAATATCAATAAATATATTTATATATATACAGTATATTTCAACCTGAATAGTTTATTGCAAAACATTCTTATTCTCTGTAATTAATGAAATTTATTTATTATATTTTTACGTGCTACTCTTTGTAGTTGAACCGCTAAATATATCCCAAAACCGCAATTTCATACTTAAAATATAGAGACAATCTTAAAATACACACGTATAGAAGGGAAACTAAAATGAGAAAAATGGAGATTTTAAAAGGCAATTGAAACAAAACCTTGTATCATTACACACCTACATTATAATTAATCTAACTGAGCATTCATAAAACGCTTTGAAGTATATGTATATAATGGAAAAGGAAAAACTATTGACCCAAAATTTTCATTCCTACTTTTTTTTCTTATTCTGGTCTGTTTTCCGATATTTATTCTACGGGAGAGGGACGGACGACACTGGATGACTTCCCCGACAATATTAACCGTAGTGAGTACATTCCAAAAAAGAATGAATGGCCGATAATGCATCCTAACGTACATCCAGCAACCCCTATACCAGCAGCTAAGCCGGGGTGATTTGCCCAATCGATAAGAGCATAAACAGCTGATGTAACTCCAGCGAAATGAAAAATCAACGTTGCCGTAAAGTAGGCGACAGAAAAAGTAAATGGATAAACTACGTGGAAAAGACGCATAGGGAAAGCTACTACAAATACATCAATCACACTTAATACTACGTTTATGCCATGAGTATGGTAACTAAATGCAATAGGAGGATTACTTCGAAAGGCGGCCCAATACAAAACGGTGACAATAACATTAAAAGTTTGCATCACCGAATGGAAGACCCACATAGAATCTCGTAGAGCTTTTGTTGATTCTGTAGAGACAAAAGTAATCATATAAAGTCAAATTTCTGATTTGTTAAGATTTATTGTTTGCACTAGTAGAATAATATCAGGTTAACACGCGGTCGCAACTTAATATCTTAATTTGCATTATAGGGACTCTCGGTGACTGTTTTATGACTTGGGTGTACAAAGATGTGAGAATCCCTGGTCCATCAAGGATCTCGGGACTCGTTTGTACTACTACACTACAACTAAACCTGGTAGCAACCGCATGTATATTAGAAACATGATTCGTGGGTCCACTTGGTGTCCAATAGATTGCTAATTAGGCTATAGGGAAACGGTACAGTATAACACCGAGAACATAAGAAAACATCGTAATTAAAAAAGCCATCTGAAAAAGTGGTGCTGATCCGGTCCGGTTGAAATTGTTTGTCAGATAAATTTTGCGAATGTCCACAATGAAAATTTGTTTTTAACCAGGGGAACTCAAAATGCAACAAAGGCTTAAACAGATGAAAACAAAAGTTGTGTTAAAACTTACGTTTTTTAATAGTTGTTCCGTCTTTTTGGTCAGTCACTCCAACCATGGCGAGTGCTAGAGCTAAAGTGAAATATATTGTACTGAAGGTAAATGCCCACGTAGTAAGAAACAGATAGGTTGTCGTTAGCGTCGTTGGCTCATATATACCAAAATAAATGTGGTACGCCATCCACCAGCCCAATTGGTAGGCCCACGCGACGACACGGTAGACCAAAAATATTCTTCTACTCGGGTTCCACTAAAAAGCAAAGTTTGTTATCAATATATCTTTTACAAGGAAATATACCCACAAATGGTTATGTTTTTCTAACTGTTGTTTTACTGTTTTTAGCATTAAATTATCATTTTGAAGATATAGATATTGTGGGAATATTAAAAGTGACATTCAAAATTTGAACAATACACGACCCAAAATTGATTTACTTTTAATGGCAAAATCTCCTCCAGAATTCAAATTTATTTTTAGTTGAAATTCCTGAAACATGCCTAGTCTGGTGTATATACATAGAACACAACATACCTCAGATCTATAAAACAAGTCGTTCTCACTTTCTGACGTATAAAATCCGAAGTTGCGGAGTTTAAACTGTGAGGAGCAAGTAGGCCTCTGCATAATTGAGCTCTCTTTTCTCTATTAGTTCGTACAAACAAATATTAAATTAGCTTCCCCGTAGTTTCTGCCTTGTCATTTCTACCAGTTCAGCCATCGACGCTGACAAAATATATGTGGGGCAAATGTTAAAATAAACTCTATATTATATTGTTCTCCATGAAAAGAGGCAAGATATCACGTTCGTTATTGTGAACACGTTCTCCATTGTAATATGAAATTTTATTTGAATTCATGACATCGGATATATCATGGTATGAGAAAGACCGAATGAAACTATAGCTAGGCTACATAAATACCACAAAGAAATTGGCTCGTATGATTGATATCCTAATCTTACAACTATATATATATTGTATTGTTCAACGTTTTACCTAACTTCATGGTATCAATTAGTTTACTGGACGATATCACATTACTTATATCCCTATACTAATACGTTCGCAAGCCTCTTGTCTGAATATCATGAGCTCAGTTTTTTATCATGTTTTATCATAAAATGATAAAGGAATTTTGAAACTGATCCGTATAGACTAAATGTCATTAACTTACAACAATTTGGTTTACTCAACTTTAGAAACAAGACAGGTATGTTCAAATATATGGGCACGAAAGCCAAAACGAAGTGGTACGTGTGCGCAATCTGTCACAGTAGACTACCGGTACCGCAGTGTTCACAACATCGCCTGTCCACCAGGCACGAGTTCGCAAAGTCAAAACGATAGATATTCCTCACAATGTCATGAAACGCATTCCAATGAATAAAAATAAACAGCGGAATTTTAGATGAAATGTCATATCTCATTGAGAACATTGGCAAAAATAAAATAGCCTTCTAGAGACAATACCAAGTTTTGACCATTGAACATTTCAAAGCAATCGGCACATCATTTAAAAAAAAATCGAATTTTTTTCATGAAAGAAATATACTTACAAGGAAATGTAAAATAAGAACAACAACAAAATAATAACAAAAGTTCATATGTAGCCTAGCCCTAGAGTTCGTGTACAATAACTTCCAAATACATTAGTACCTACGTTTCAACAACAAACGACTGTAAAATCAGCTGTGATAAAAAGCTGCTCACAGAATTACAATTTTCAACATGTTGATTACGCTGACTTTTGGATATGCGTATTTTATATTGTAAAGATCTGAACATCCGAATTTCAATATTTTGATACAAATGCATGACTACAAAATCACAAAAAAACTGTAATATGAAGTACATAAAATAAATACATTTAATAAATACAAAACGCTTTTATAAATTAAATATTTTATATATAATTAAATTTACAATATTGCGCAGTCGCAATGTCTTTACAGTTTCTTGTAGAATAATTTGAACATGAGGCGGAATTGTGACAGATTTACATTTGCCAAAGAACTTATTATTCTATCTAATCCAGCATCTTCAATAAAATACTCCAGTCTTCTATTGAAAATAGTAACTATTGACATCAACAATCTTCAACCACTGAACATTTTGAAGCTATTTATTTAATAGTTAAGAAGTGAGGCGAATTTTTCACATCGACAAGACAAGGTGCACTATACATACAAAAATAGTTCGGCTTTTGCTCGTGCTGTGTTTTTGACAAGATTCTCTTGTTTCTATACTTTTTTCTCTAATTTACTAATACTGGAAGTTTTAGAGCCGCTACATCAAATCTTCGCAAAGCATTGTCCGTGTTTGCCAAGTCCCGATTGAGAACTATATTGTCGGACCACGAAGAATAAACTGAACGCAGAAATACCTGTGAAAATAATTGATAAGAGTTATCAGTTCTTTTGTGAATTTTTTTACGACAACATGGTATTCATGAATGAAGACGCGCGTTTTTACAACGATTTGTTCAGTTCATTCTTGCTCGTAATATTCAATACTTTTGAGAATCGAAGAGTTCACCTAAGTGTTTGGACCACATCCTTAAACCACTAAAAACAAACACTAACAAGTAGTACCGGTACGGGTATTCAATCTGACAAATAAGGAATGCCGGTACCGCACTCTTATTAACGACTGACGCGAATGCGGAACCGCTACATGGTTCGCAATTTTGATTGACGCCATAGCACAAATAAAACAAATCCAATAGAGCCCACCGAAATTTTTGAAATAAAGAAAATTTCAAAGCAATTGGTAATGTAGTTAATGAGAAAAGCGATTTTTTCACAACAATAAGAAGAAAAATAGCAACAAAAACGATCCATATGTACTTGATAAGAGTTATCAGTTCTTTTGTGAATTCCTTTACGACAACATGATATTCATGAATGAAGACGAGCGTTTTTACAACGATTTGTTCAGTTCATTCTTGAACGTAATATTCAATACTTGTGAGAATAAAGGGTCGACCTAAGTGTTTGGACCGCTACCTTAAACTACTAAAAACAAACACTAACAAGTGGTACCGGTACGGGTATTCAATCTGACAAATCAGGTATGTCGGTACCGCACTCTTAACGACTAACGCGAATGCGGAACCGCCAATGAGAAAAGCAATTTTTTTTTCATAACAATAAGAAGAAAAATAGCAACAAAAACGATCAATATGTACATTGAGTCTCCAATAAGTGCCAGGGAACTCACAAACTGTATTTTGGCTTGGTGTGCTTTGATACATTGTTAAGAATCAACTTACCGAACTGCGAGTACATATCTCCATTTCAACAAGAGCTGAAAAATCGTTGTAATTTTCTCCCAGAAAGGAACAAGCCGTAATAAGTTCTGACTTCTCCACAAAACTTTCCAAATCGACTTGAGTAACGACTATCAAGTTTTTACTGTAAATTTGTATGTTTGTACGAAAGTTCAGTATTGCGATCACAAATATTCAAACAGGCAAAACAAAAATTGTTTGAGTTTAATTTAACAATCGGTATAGTATAGTATGAAAATTTTATTTAAACCAAGTCTAAACATGCACGGAAACGGGCGTCTTATCTGTACAAACAAAAATTACCTGATTAATTCATTTGTAAGATCATGAAGGAAATGAAGGGTTGATTGGGTTTTTGGTGTTGCTATGTATATATGTCGCACGTCACTTTTAGATTTTCCATTTACGTATGAAATGTATTCTGTCATTGCTCTTCCCAAAGATTTGGGCAAAATTCTGTTCACTTTTTTGCACATTTCAGCTTGATTCTGATTACCGGTTCCTTCTAAAATAAATACAACAAAAATATTATGCTCCCCCAATGAGTGAAAGTGTTTACATTATCCACTACCGAATTTAGCATATCGCATTTGAGTGCGTGACATAGTGCCTACGTCCTAAATTTACCATTGGGAACACTTTCTGATTATTATAAACGTACAGCACGATGTTGCTTACAACTTGTTGCGCAATGTGGAGAAATATACTCTTCTCTTGGATAATATAAAGATAAAGCGGACACGAGGATATGAAGAAAAATCCTAGAAATCGGGTGTTTTTATTTCCAGGATTCCCTTGGTTATCAACATAGAAACACAGACATATAATATCACGGGTTTCAAAAGTAAAATATTATACGTAATTATTAAACGTTGTTGTTTTCGATTCTTCTGAATTAAATTCAGTTTATTTGCTAATCATCATACAAGGTTTGATCGGGAACATTGCGCATATATCACGTACAACGCTGAAATGCGTTGTTTATCACGTCACAATGTGCGAAATACCCGGACTTCGGTACCAGAAGCAAAATGAATCTCAACACCCCCGTGTTTGACAGTAAATATTTTGCAAAATATTGAAGTGACGTTACGTCTGTGAATTTTTCTGAAAAGTAGAAGGTATGATCATTTATTATACGAATTCCCGATGCTCTAAGTTGAATTTTAAAGCCAGAAGTATTTTAGGTAAAATGCCATCATATTCGTGTCTCAAAGCTAATAAGCGTTTTCCTGCCCATGTTTCAGCATTAATATCTCTAAAACGGTTGAAGATAGTTTGTCGCTGTGAATTTTTCCAAGTGGTATCATTCATGGTCTACAATCCGACCAAATCTCATCATCACACGTTTATCCAATATGACAGTAGTAGAGAGAATTTAGGAAGGTGTTTTTACATTGCAGAATCGCATCATCATTTTTTTTCCGAAATCACATTGCGTTTAGCCAGTGTTTCCCAAACTTTTTTTCTAGCAGCGCCCCCTTGGACAACTTGTTGGCCAATGAACGCTGAACGCCCCCTGACTAAAAAGATGAAAGATTTTTTTTCCATATAATATTTAGTCTAATGAGGAGGATGAGCCTGGTGAAATGCCACCATCCTATTAATATTCGGTATCATTTTAGTCAGAAACAGCCTTAAGTCTCCTCGTTTGACTATGTCAAGGCGGTTTCTCTTGTTATCCAGAAGCGCGGTCATGACACTGCACGTACGCTCTACCAAGTATGCGCTGGGAAAGGCAATGAAAAACTTTTTAACGCTATCCCACACGTGAGGATATTTCAACTTGATTTGATTTTGTACCCAGAACGATTGATACGAAACACTGAACTTTGGTTTGAGTTCAAAATCGCTTTGCAATGTTATAAGTTCCTCCTCAAGAATTCCATGTTCAAAAATATTACTGAATAGGTCTATTATCCATGGCGGAATAGCCAATTGAAATACATCCTTGAAACGAACATCACATGTCATTGGGTAATTCTTGAAGATGCTTTCTGTAATTATCTATGTCACTATTAGGTATGCTCCTGCCACTAGGGTCTATTTGTTCTAGGCTCAAAAATTGAAAAAATTCTCGCCGAGATAAATTTTGCTCATAAACCACAAGTAGGGCTGGGCATTTTCGAAACACTGGTGTTTCGAAATCGAAACGAAATTTTGCCTTCGAAACGAAACGAAACACACGTTTGTCAAAAACAATAAAACCATTATTACCCATCGAATTTAATGTTTAATTGCACATATTTTCAAGAATTAAAACCACAAAAACGAAGCACTCGAAGCTATTTCGAGAGCATGAAACGGTAATGATAATTCAATGAAGGTTTCTGCTAATGACAAAGCAGTGACCAAATTGCATCAGAATAATCATTACGAATTACGTCATTGTTAGAGATAGGGCTCACAAGCAGCATAGATAGCATGGGGCCTCTCAACGTATCAATGCGACCCTGCGCTCATCTTATGTAATAATTGGGATCATTTTTTATATTATCCGATGTCACAGAGCCTTGTGATCCAGCCACAATCGAATACTTGACTAATACATTTTAAAAAATATCTTTGAATCTGAATTCCAAATACATTCTTAACTCCATGAACACAGGAAATTGGCTTTCATGATATTATCGTTGATTGAAATTAGCTACAACTAGGCGCCAGAGAAATGTTTTAAATTATACAGTAAAATTAACATAAATTCGGATTTTTGTCCAGGAGAACTTTCGTTGTGACTGTTTATCGTCAGCGTGACATCAACATCGTTAAGCTAAATTCCGCCCCCCACAAATTTTGACTGTTTATTTTGCTTACAACGCGATTATCGTCGTAATCAAATGAGTCGACCCAATTCACAAATTTCCATCCGCCAATGACGGAGAGTTAAGACTGAAAATCGTGTTTCATTTTTCTTCAAGTCAGTTCTGATTTGAATATTTCACGTCGACTGTTATGCTTTTATTATTTCTTATGAATTAATACCGCAAACTTGCACTGAACTATATTATTATTAACGAAGCCAGTGTAACAATAAAATCTGCGATAGATACTAAATGATATTTAAGAGCTAGTTTATATGGGGCAAATGCAGGAAATGCTCGGTCACTATAGAAACTAAGGATGAAAAAGATTAATAACGACAAAATTTGATTTTAGATTTATTGCCGCAGTAACCCAGACTATCTCGACTATGTTGAAATATACGATAATAATTGTAAAATATTTTCATTCAAAAACTCCCACGACATGTTATAAATACTGTATATTCGGATATGAAATTCGACTCGGACATCGCTGAATGATATTTTGACCGCTTTCAGATTGTTTTTGCTATCACGTCATAATGTCCGTTTCGGAAGTCGAAACAGCGCCGTTTCGACATATCAGTGTTTCGAAACGTATCGAAACAGTGTTTCGAAACGCCCAGCCCTAACCACAAGGTTCAATATTGAATCCAAACACAGCCGATTTCACTTTTATTTCGTCTCCTTGAAGAGATAATAAATTCAGTGCATTAAATTTGGAAAATATGTCTGCCAAGTAAGCAATATCATTTTTGACCACTATAACATCTTTCGCGAGACTCGGATCGCAAGTTTATCGGAATTCAACAACAGTGTCGAAAAGTGAGTAAAATCGTCTGTCTGCCAAGTAAGCAATATCATTTTTGACCACTATAACATCTTTCGCGAGACTCGGATCGCAAGTTTATCGGAATTCAACAACAGTGTCGAAAAGTGAGTAAAATCGGGTAAGGCAGTTCCCCTTGGAAAGCCATCTATCTTCTATATCAGAGGCCATTTCATCAACTCGTCTCTGTACTGTATTATTGCTCAATGGAATAGACTTGATAATTGTAGAATTCAAAACTTCCTTTACTGATGCTAGAATTAATTCTTCACCAATCTTATGCGGTTTGCCCTTTTTGCTATCATCAAAGACAAATTGTAAGTATAAACCATCATCGCTTTTCTGGGATAAATTAGAAGACATATTACCAATGGTTTTTCGCTTCTTTAAATTATCCCAGAGTGTACGAAAAATGCAACATTTTCGTCTGCTTCATCCGGATGAATTTTTGTTAAATGCTGGGAACGCCTGGGCGGTTTCATCGCTTCATTAGAAAAGGTTGTTGCACACAGCAAACACATCGGTTGCGAATCAGAATTTGGGTTGGTAATGAATCCATATCAGAGGTAACTTGTGCTATATTGCCTACATTTTCGCTTCGGCAAACTCATTGCGATGCTTCAAAATTAATTTTAATATACTGTTCTGATCTAAATCAGTTAAATGGCTTAGATCACTATCTTAGATAACATTAACTTATGCAACACGAATGGCTAAGTAATATCAGGTGGAGCATAACATTGCAAGTGTCGCAACAGGCTAGATCTGAAACTTTGTCGTTTGCCAAGTCAAGTAGCCTAGTTATTCAATGGCCCCAAACGAATAATGAATGGACCAGTTGAGTCGCAACGTAGAAATGTCCTACCTTGAAACGCGGCAGTAAAATAAAACTGCGAGTTAATTTGAAAATAAACAACAAAACATGCCGGACAGAAGAAGAAAGACAGCGACGAATGAAGCATTATTATACGGCTGTCATGCGCCAGACTAGTAATATTACGAAACAATGCGGAATGAATAGAAAAAAAAAGTCATAAGGTATTACGTCAAATGAGATCCATCACACCAAAATTACGAGCAAACCTGGTCAAACAAATCACATAACTGAAGTAAATGAAACTATATTATGCTTGTTGTCAGCGCCCCCAATCGCCCAGTTTAATATCCATCGCTCCCCCAATTTGAAGTCAGCGCCCCCTCAATTGTTGCAAACGCCCACTTTGGGAATCGCTGGTTCAAGCTGAACTCTGAAGCAACCCACGGCCATCGGTCTCCATAAGACAGGAAAATTTTGCAGACTACGAGTTCCTGCGTTTGACGGTACTTTTACTGGGGCTGTGCGACATGTGTAATGGGTTTTATATGCGTTCAAACATTTTAGAAATTTTCCAATTTTACGGCAGATGGAATAGTTCACGATGGGTGGTCTCCGTCCTAAAAGAGTTAATAGCGTTGAGGTATATTTTAATTGATATTTATTGTGTGGTTACTAAGCATACTCTGGATTTACTGATCGGCTAATGGTTTAAATACGTAAAATTTGATGCGCTTGTTTTTCATCTTTTCTATGTAAACTGCGGGAGAACTGCGTGACCGCACGTTTTGCTTTCGATCATGTCCGCTTTGTTTATTTATTTTTTGGTTAAGGAAATATAGACCATTTCTGATTATTTACTTTTATAAGATATCATGTAGGCCTACCTATTTTATAAGAAATTATCGGGGATTTCAGAGGTATGATTGCTAGGACTGGGCATTTTCGAATACCTGATGATTTCAGAATCGTATCGAATATTTTTTCCGAATCGAACTCGAATACTTGGAAGATATAAAATCGTATGCAACTTTCTCATTGTATTAGGTCCTCCAGACACATAAATTACTGAAAACATAGAATACATCCCTCGGGCAGATAGCTGAGCCTTCACGTGCAATAAAAAAACACGTTTTCACCAATACCTCACTATAGAAAAAAGTCACATGATAGAATTGCGTTGAAAAAATATGGCTTCAATAAAAAAAAATTGATAAATTTACTTCGACCATTGGCGGAAAAAAAAAATATGGCGGTGATTTGAAATTTTGCTCTGAACCGATTCGAATAATTTACCATTCGATTCGAAATACCCAGCCCTAATGATGGCATATTATTATTTGAGGAATATTCGATTGATAAGATGATGAATTTTGGGGTGAGCCGGCACTGCGGTTAGTTAGCCATCAGACTTTATTTCCATATATATATTTTACAGAAGTCGAATCAAGTTTTCCTGTAGGAATGGTTCAATTCGTGACACTCGTCATGTGAACGACGTACCGGTACTTAGCTGATTCAAGTCAAATTTATTTTTTCCAACCAGTAAAAAACATGCAAAAATACAAGAGAGCTATGCTCAAATATATGGACACGATTCTAAGCTCAGCTTTTCTATTTTCATTTACAAATAACCCAACTCTCAATACTACAATCTAATTAATGTGCTATGGTACTGTATGGACAATATTCCCATATCCTGTCTGCCCACTTGCCCCATTTATTAGCGTTAGTGAGCATAAACCTGTTTACGGGTCCCAGTGCACCAATTTTACAGAAACTTGGCGATACATGTATTCTAAGTATCAATTTAAAACTTGTAATACCTTCTTTGTTGCACATGAATTTGCCGAAATCTTCTTTGTCATATCTCCAATGCAGTGCCAAATATGGACTACCACCAAAGACATGTTCCAAAAATGTTTCAGTAATTTCCTTAAAAATATATTATCTGTCATTAGTTATAATATAATATTTTTATAGAGAAGCCCAATAAATTTACAAATAATTGAGTAATGTTAAGATTAGTGTCAGCTTGTGTGGTAACGGCGTATATAGCTATAGCGTAGACCGATTTCCATTGGAGAATACGCCTGTTCCACTTGCGCTCCACGTACCCCGATGCAGCCTTTCGCTCCCCTTTAACGTTAAGAAACGTTTCGACTTTCGATATCAATAAATTTTATATTTCAGTAAAAATATAAATGACTTTGTTATAACAAAATCTTACCTAAAAATAAAAACATAAAGTTTTTCCCACCTGTATGTATTTGGGTGGAAGCATATTCTGGAACAACGAATTCACCAACGCCCGTGATGAAATGTCATCAGTTGATTCAGAAAATAGATGTACGTCACCTATGTTTTCCTTCTGAAACGAAACACCACAAAAGTAAATTTTCTGTTCTGATTTGAATGTGTGCAACTACTGCGCCAACTGGATGTTTTCTCAATGCCGATTGGTTCATTGTGTACGTTTGAGGAATTTTGAAATTAATAACATCAGACTTAAAAGTTTAATTTGTCAATTAACATAAACCTATAGGTCGGTAAACAGTTGTGATCATCTGTTAAAGTTCAGTAAAGCATTTGCTCATTTTGAATACCTCAGTTCATTCAAGTTTCCTTCGTTATTTCACTGAAGCGTAATAAAAAAGTACAAAAGTTATCTATATTAACAATCTAAATCATGACTAAAATATTGGAAATTAAGTTATTTCTCACGCTTTCGACTACGATTCATAGACAATTTTCATAAACACAAATAAACAGACAATTGTTCGTGCGTTCACGATTTTTAAACAATCAACAAGCTACAATCGTATCATAATGTTTTTGCATGTTAACCTAAATCAAAACATGATAAATTATAAAGGTTTATATATAATAAATAAATTATAAAGGTTTATATAGTTATATATATATTCGTATAACTTAGTTTTGCGTTGGGTGGTGCGGTCTGTACTCTGTATGTCAATGTCATCGCGTATGTGTTTTCCAGATTTTTTTGTCTTCGGAAACGAAAAGTTGACTTGGGTTAATGAAGGAACCCCAGTGGTTTTCGAATTGAGATATCAGGATATATCCCGGTTAAAGCGGCATATAAAACGATATTCAAGTATATATTTGGGCATTGCTCGCTTATCAACTGATTACATTTACCTTCCTCTCTCTTAGTATGTTTTTATCAACTCGTAAGGGTGAATTATCAGGTATAAATTTTTTTAATGAATTTGAATCTATAATTTTTTTTAGAAATTTTGACGCTTACTAATCACATAAAGTTTAATATTTAGATAATCCTATCCCACTTTCGTCAGTCATTTTCTTCAAAGAAATAACGAAAACCTAATTGAATTTACGTTGGTGTTTGGTAAATAGAAGTTAGCAATGAAAACTGGTCATAGATAAATTCATCACGTTGGGGTTAAATCAATTGTACAAGACAAGGGAGACTTGCTTCAAGCAGGAATAAGAGATAAGAGAAAAATGGAGAGCGAGAAACGACTTCGAGATTGCGAAAGCAGGATTTATAGGGAAAAAGTTGTTTACGACACTTGTTTCCATGGTGTCTACCGATGCGGGTTGTTTTTCGTTTGTTTCGCTTGATCTAAGTGGATGAAAACCCAAATTAATCGCGTGCGGGTTTGCAGTGCATTACTATTCATATCATTAGAATAATTCGGCGCAAATGACAATAAATCCTTTTTCAATTCAAAGACTGGTGTGCATTTGTTTAATTGTTCACGTGTGCAAATGTCAATAGATGCAAACATCCCGAGTACAAATGTTCATGGGCGCAAATGTACGCGCGTGCAGATACCCTCGTGTGCAAATGCACGCGGATGCAAATGTATGTGATTTCAAATGTGCGCTGGTACAAATGTTCGTGGGTTCAAATGTACGCGGGTGAAAATGTACGTGGGTAGAAATGTACGCGAGTGCAGTTGTACTTGAGTGCAAATGCACGAGGATGCAAATGTATGTGGTTTTAAATGTGCGCGGGTGCAAATGTAAGCGGGTGCAAATGCATGCTGGTGCAATTGTCTGTAGGTGCAAATGCACGCGGGTTCAAATGCATATGGTTTCAAATGTGCTCGGGTGCAAATGCACGTAGATGCAAATGTTTACGGGTGCAAATGCACGCGGGTGCAAATGTACGTTGGTGCAAATGTTCGCGTGCGCAAATGCACTGGGTGCAAATGTACATGGTTGCAAATGTATGTGGTTTCAAATGTGCGCGGGCGAGGGTGCAAATGTACATGGTTGCAAATGTGAATGTATGTAGTTTCAAATGTGCGCGGGTATATCCGCCAGTTCAAATGTACATGGGTGCTAATGTCCGTGTGTACAAATTGCAGGTGCGATTGTCTGTGGGTGCAAATGCACGTGGATGTAAATGTACACGGCTGAAATTGAAATACCGGTAGTTGGTACTGGCAGGATGCCGGTGCGGTGTTATGGCACGATAGGTTGTTGTTTGGAAACAGAAAAATAAATTTTAATGCTCAAGGATTTATTGGTATAAACTGGACAGTGTACGACCTGCGTTGATAAACTGTAGTTTGAATTACAGCATTAACAAATACCTCATCCTGGGTTCGGCCTTTAACGTCGCAGTGGTAAGGCAATATTAAAATGATGAAAGTGCTTCTATTTACGTATGATGAGCACACTTCACACAAAGTGTTTGGTTAACAAAATGTAATTGTTTAAATTCGAGTGTCCTGCTGACAGCACTATAGGCCTACCGGAATTTCTCGAATGAATCGTGTGGCGTAAGGTGCCCATACTCTGCAACGTTGAACTGAAAGCATGGTCGGAAAAATGATCCTACTAAATTTGCTCGTCCTATGTGCATCAATTAATTTGTCGTTTTGTTCTCAGATTATGGGCAATAGTGGAAAATTTCAACGGGAAGACAACCCGTCATCCTCTGCAAATAACTATACAGAACTTCAATTAAGAACATTCATCTCATTTTGATATTTCAATAAGTATTTGTATTGAATTTTTAAAGTTAATGAAGATAAAATATATGCAGTACGTTGACAAATCGTCAGGCAGATGTACAACTGTTATCATCTCGTTAGTTTGGACACGTAATTAAGTAGCGCTAAGTATTCTCTGAGACCTCTTTGACCTTTCCGAATCGAACCGTCTTGCTGGACTGATTTTGATGGACATGTAATGAAATATCAAAACTTGCTATACGACTTTGCTTTTGGAAAACATCTTAAACCCATTTTTGTTTTCAGGCGACCTAGGGGGCCTATTCAATTAACTTAGTAAAATGACCAGACAATCAACTCGTGACGGGATCTCTTCAAAACGCCATAGCGAAATTTCGTGAATCTCATACCCGCGAAATATCATTACCGAGTTGACGGTATAACAGTGTATTTAATGCATGACGGTTACACACAGTTTTTCGAATCCACGCTCACGCGCACCGTTAAATAAATAAAGATCATTGTCTAATCTTTCATCCGCATCACTTGTCGGCTGCCACCGCCGCCGTTTGAAGCGGATATTTGCACACTATCGCGTCATAATTGGATTGTAAATTACCTTTTCCAATAACTGTACGAGTGAACGACTACGAGTGAATCGACTTGGACTGTGGTTAATTTTAATTTATTTTGGTTGCCAAAATGTTATTGAAAATGTGTTTGTATTAATTTCCACAAGATTTCTTACATAGAATACACAAGACACACATCTCTGGAAAATCAAAAACTAAAGAAATTAGCAAAAGACTATGTTATATTAAAAGTTTTATTCTTATATCCGGACTGGACTAATAGCCCATCCGCTGACTTTCCCAATAGTTTCTACTCTCATACTTGCTCTCGAACATATTGAAGTACATATGAAAATTATCAATTGATCAACAGAATTCCTAGATTACTATTAAATGTTAAATAATATACAAATTACTTGATTGGGAGTATGGTCCACATTCATCTTTATTTCTCTGAATGGAAACTGATAAATTGCGCACTTCTCATCCGATTTATATGCCATTCGAATGATACGACTGTTGTCAGCGTGGGCAGTAAATGGAGCTTTCACTTTGATGTTGGGGAAAAACGGTCCGGATCGATTGATTATGCCTTTTGACTGAAATAAAAAAATGTAGAGAGTTTTATACAAAGTTTCAAATCAAATCTTAATTTATATCTACTCCAAACTACCACTAGGAAGATGTATGGCATGAACTCAGGTGTGATGACATTTGCAGGTATTGCCTTTTGTTAGCTTTCTTTTTTTATTTTGGTCCCTTGATCAAGCGTTAAAATTATGTTCTATTAGTTCCCCGACAGTGAAAATGAAAATGGCTCGTAGCAGTCTCATTGCCCACTTTCCCTGGTTCGGTCATTTGTGTTATTTCGTACATAAATTATATTCAGTGTTGAGTTGAGTTGAGTTGCATTAAGCTTCTGATATTATCGAGGCAAATGCGCATGAACTATGGAGCAAAGGAATAAACTTTGCACAAAGGTTCAAGCAGATGTATTAGGAAATCTTCGCACCTTATTTCAAACTAGTAAATGCGTAGCATATAAATTTATTAACATTTCGTAAAAGTAAAGCTCCTGATAAAAAAAAATTCCCCCGCTTTTGTTGCAGATCACAGCTAAAGACAACAGAGTTCTCGAATCACCAAAACAAGAGTACAACAAATATCCTCATTTGGTACAGCATGCGGTCAAAGTCAACCAAAGGTTTGAAGTTACGTACAAACTTACACATTAATGTAGTTTTGTAAACCTAAAATGTGAAATAAATATTCACCCGCAAAACTCACAGATCGTTGAAGAAACTCTAAATTTAATTCCTTTTCAGCCTGTTTCAGACTTTCAACAGTCCAGTCTCTTGGAGTAGTTGCTTGGAGTACAACATCTACATTCTTTCCACAGTGTTGGTGATATTTATCTACAGTCACTACAGACATCAGCCTTGACAGTGAGTCGACCTGAAATCTGCATTTTGCATGTACAAATTTTTTAAAAGTCGGTAAAGTTAAAAACTAATTATCGCATTCGTAGTGAATCGGTTTCAAATAAAAACTAAATTCTTTCAAGCTAAAACGAATAAAACTGATTTTCTCAATAAAAAAGCACCTGTGACTAGCGTCAATGATGGTTCCCGGGCCAGATTCATCAAGTATGTGCTTGTGGAATAATGGTAATACCAACGTTCGATTCAATAGAATTGCCACGTATGCTGCTTGTCTCAATCCCCAGATCTGGTTAGTGGGGCCGTTGTAAAGCAATGGAAGAAGAAATCTTTCAGAATTTAGCTTTATTTGAGGATGCTGAAGGTTATTGTTATCAAGGATTTCTGATGAAGACATCCACTCCACACATTCTTCTGCACCAAGACTAGAATAAAATTTTCATAATTATAAGTTTACTGTTAGGTTAATTAGCTTAATCATGTTAATCTAGTCAGGTGATAAATGCGTTATACTAATTGCTTGACTATTTTTGAGGTTGAACAATAAATTTTGTTCTGAGTTGAATAACGAAATATTTGGTGTATATCATGAAATGATAATTTAGTACTATGGTCATTCAATTAACATATGTTTGTTCGTAGTATATACCAGTACTAGTAAAATACGCATTTCTGAAGCACTCGCTCACCCAAATCGATTTGCGAAATTATACGCGGTGGAACATTGAAGGGAAAACAGAAAAACAACGGATCCAATATTAAACACGTGATAGCAAAAGCCTTCTGAAAATTTCTATTCAACTTCTAAAAAGCGATAGTTACACAGGGAAGTAATTTCTGGTTTCAGCATTAACAAAAAACGATTTAGAAAACCGAAACATATACTTTGTGGTTTCATAATCATGAAAAACAAGAGAGCAACTCCTAAACAAACAGATACGAAAGTTTCGCATTGGTACAGGTATGGTTTGGCCTAAGAGCACGAAGTTTGATGAAACGATCAGCGGCCAACCAATACAAAAGCAATCTGGAAATACGGATTCTTCATTGATTAAAATGAAACAGCAAAATTCTTAGTGAAGGACTTCGTAGCACAGAGTGACCACAAAAACAGAACCCACAAATGTCTCAGTTACTTTTACGACAAATGAAGTGAATTCATTAAACACTTGGACTTATGTTTGTGCATGATTGTACCCAAAGGTTTCACGAAAGTTATGTTCACTCTGAAATATCTCCTAAATGACCTGGGTCCTATTTTTTTGAGATCACCCGTTACTCAGAAGGAAAGCTAGAAAACAGTGAATAAAAGTAATCGCCTACCATAGAAACTTCTTCCATTTTCAAATACTCAAAATTTGAAAAATCAGTTAGTCCATTAGTTGAGTAGAGAAGCGATATTTACGATAGCAACGATTTGGCGTTAACACCAACAAGAATTTAGCAAAACTATTCATATCTCTGTGTCTAGTTACATAAACATTTTCAAAATATGGATAATTGATTCTCTATAAAGTTTTGTTGTATTTAGCTGTCTTACATTGTTTTATGATAATCAAACTTTGTACCATAATATATGCAGGTCATTGCTAACGTTCGAAATTATTTGGGTTGAACACAGGGCGAAAAATTATTAAAGGAATTCAAGATGAAAGTTATAAGTATCAAGCGGTTATATAGCAAAATGAAAAGCACATTTTGAAATTGAATCTAAATAATGGTCATACCCTTACTGAACTTCAACTTTATGTTTAATCTTACCTTTTTGCTTCGATGTTTCTTGGGCACAACATATTTGTTGCAACTATATAGAAAATCAATCCAAACATAATAGAAATTACTATTTTTCTCGTTGATGGTCCCATAATACCGTGACGAAATTTTCTCAAATCTGCCATATATTCTAAATACAATCATCAAGTTAATTAAATATGGAAAGAAAAAATATCATTTTTTTTATATCTTCGTCTTTAGAAAAATTATTTCGTGTCACTTGTTTTTATTCTGCATACGACAAAATATAGCTTGCTCAATTTAGTGTTTGCAATAACCAAATAGTTTTTCAAATGAGTTTCTGAACTTCTACTGTTTCGGCTCTCACAGATCTGTATTTCAGCTCTATTCATTGAAGATTTTTTGCCTAATTGTCCTGGGACTCATGAGAGAAGCACCAATTACATGATTAAGATAGTTTTCAAATGGATGTGAAAATAATTATAAAAATTCGATTAGTTCTGCATTCGAAACTAAGTTTATTTGAGCATTTTTCAAGCACTTATAATGTAAGCATATTTCGACAGTAGTCATTCTTCATTTTGTATATGATATAATATTACCTGATTTAGTATATTGAATAACAAAATATTGTTTGAAATATATATAAAAATAACTTCCCAACCGACTTAGGGGCTCTCTGACGTGTAAAGAAACTACTCATTCAAAATTTCTGCCTAATTGTGGCAAATAATTATCATAGTTTGCAAATAGATGTAAATGCACCATGGCTATTCTACGTCGTCCAGTTGAATTTAATATCACAACGAATCTAACGAAACCGACGGTGTATTTACTCTTGTAGAGTCGGATTGAGAAATAAATAAACGTTTGAAAGCAAAGAGGGTGGAGGGTAAAATTTAAAAAATAAAATTTGTGGAAGTGTTGGCAAAGATTTCAACTGACTTTTTGATAGTGGCCCGAAATCACCATTATACCAAACCCTCCAGTTTGTTCAGCGTAGCATGCTCCCGCACCTATGTTTCGTCTCTGTTTTGCTTGCGAATTTTAACGTTAGAGAACATCAGATGAGTAAGAAACAATCTAACTTTACTTAGATGTCATAAACCACCAAATGTGGTAAACAAAGGTTCCAAATACACGCATATTATTACATAATCTCGATATGAAAACTTGGTGTGTATATACTATGTTAGTATATATATATATATATTCATTAGTGTCATAATATCTGTAGCTGTTATACCTTTGAGAAAAGCGGTATTCGAGAAAAGACGATTTGTAAAAAATAAACAATCCCGCGGAAAAAAGAAAAATTCATTTATATATATATTTTTAAAACATTACCATACTCGTCCATAAACACTGAAACAAACTTACAAAGACTAAATGAAACTTCCAAACATTTCTACTATTCAAACCACTTTAGTAACATTATGGTTCTGCTGACGAACATATGAAGACTCATACGCCGTAAATACACTCCATGCCGCAAGCCGGATCGCCTGGGGGGTGATGTGATAATCAACTACTATAGCCCGCAGTGTTTATTCATTGTCTCTGCGCACGATCCTTGCGTAAAGACTCTCGAATGCCGCCATGCCTTGCCAACCGTCGCGCATGATGCATGGTAACTTACGCAACATATAAACAAAGTGATCACACCCTCAAAGGCCCATTGCAAACGCGGAAGAAAAAAAATTATGTTATGATTACAATCAAAACTACTATGCGAAACCCTTTTAAAAATGGCTTGATCATAGAGATGGATCATTTGCGGCGAAGAGTAGAAATAGGATGACAACATATGGATCCGAGAATATAATTGAGAACAACCCAATCTCTCGTTTTTGAGTTCTTCGGAGCACGCGACACAGGAAGCAGAACTTTCGATAAATGCTTTATCGTTACGACGAATTGCAGGTTTCAGGAACAGAGTTACTAGCAGAAGTTGACAAGATTTGTTTTTGTTTCTATTTTTATTGTACACGAAATGTACCTATGGATCGTTTTGTTATTTTGCTGTTGTGAAAAAAAATCACTTTCTCTTTAACTACTGGACCAATTCGGCCTTCCTGTCTCCATATTTGGACAATGCTTTCTTGTTCCCATTTGTGAACAAAATACTACTCGCTTATTATTTTTATTTTTTAATAGAGAGATCAAACCTAGCATGAGAAAAAGAGAAGTGCGGCAATAGTATTTTACTTGATTTCTGAGAAAAGCATTATTATATTTTTATATGAGTCATTCAATAATTTCATTCTATGAAATGATTATAATGAAGTTTTTTTTTAATGTTGTATGTTATATTTGTACTTTGAGTTGACTAAAAGGGGGTAATTACGAATTGCTTATCTTGTAGGAGGGATTTTAACTTTAGTTTCTGTTGATTTGTTTCTGTTAAGAAAAGCCAGTCGTTTGTTATTCTTTGTACTGAAACTATAAATCATTCCACTTGATTAATTAAACTTCATCGGAAGTATATACAATTTAGTCAATCGTGAAAATAGCTTTAAAAGGGAAAGTTTCAACTACGGATTTTACAGCCAACATACAAGTGCAATTTTATTTGTAAAAACTGTATTTCGAACAACTCTGAGGTAGACCGCCGATAAACGTATGGTTTTCCCTATACTGCGGTGAATATATCCTCGCTACATTAGAAATTTGGTTTCAGTCATGTGTGGTGCAATGTGAATTCAGTTTAGAGTAGACGTTATAACACTTAAAAAATCAGCGAATAGATTCCATGAAAACGAAAACAAAAGTTAATATTGGTACCATGAATATTCATTTATACGCTACCGATCATGAAACCGAAAGTTTAAATTACCACACGCTACATTTTCAAATAAAGTCAGAACAGGTTAAGCCTGCTATCACGTATTTCTTTCTACTTTGTCGAATCAAGTCAATCACCTGTCAGTCGGTCGAAAGCCATCTATCTGTCGGATACGTTTACATCTTTGTAGTGGGAATGTTAGTTTCAAAGACTCATTCAAGTAATATATTTGCTGGCATTTGTGTAGGTACAATTACTCGATTAAAAATTTCCTATATTTTTTCGTTCAAAGCCAAAGTTCTTTCTTTAAATAGATTCTATGCACTGCAACATACAATAGCATTAACTTACATACATATTACATATCATACATATTAATTACAGTAATTCATTGTAGATTGTGCTCCGCAGATTTTTAGCTTGTGCTCAATATTCGGCATTAAGGACTTTTCTTTGTTTTAAAAATGCTAGAAAAGTTTCGTTCCGTAAACGATAGTTCGCTCCAAATTTTAAAGATTGACAGATGAACATAACGGTTGCTATGGTAATATAATGTAAAAATGATTATCACCACCGGAAAAAAAAATTCTGTGTGTTTGTGAATGAATTACAGTACAGTATTTTCAATGAAAATTGTGAGAGAAAACTTTTAGCATAAAGTATATTGTATTTTAGACGAGTGCATGTCAAAAACAAAATTTCTTACGTTCCTCTTAATATAGGGTCTACGTGATCTATTTTCTTATTTTAAAGTTTCAAAGTTTGCGCGGCAATTAAAAAAAGTTACACGTTGCTTAAATTGAGTTAAGCCACGAAGTATTCCATATTTTGGAATATCATGTCATATCATAATTTCGAAATTCGAGTAGAAATTATAGAATTGAGTCAAGTTTGTGCTCACAAGTCACAAGTGAGTTATCATACAACACCACATTGCGTTATATATTATTGGCAACGTGTGGACTGATTCACTATATTGTTAAAAGTAAAGATGTGCTGAATTTTTTTATTTTTCCCATTTTGTACCACCTGTCTAACTACAACATACTCTATCCTGCTGTTCTACCTGTACCTTATGCAAGGTAACAATGCACAATATGTTAAAAACGATATGTGTTACACTTATATGTCAAAATGCGATGAAAGGTTCTATGACTAAGGAGAAAAAAAAATTCAACATGATTTTGGTATATTAATTAATCGGGCAACAGACACTGTATATATGTCATTTGTCAAAAATATGTAATTATGTATTTCCAATTATGTATAGCCTATAGCCATTAATATTGTTTTGTGTTGCATTTATATATATAAAAAATAATAAAATATATAGGTATATTCTAGTAAATATTTTTGTACGATATATTAATACCTACACATCTGTCTTTAACGCAAATCGCTGTTTTTTTTTTAATACTTAACAATTACATTGCCAAGATTGCGTTCTTTTTTGTTCGCATCTTTTGTTCCCACAGTAGTCGGTAAACCAGAAATAAAAAATACCGATTTCCACATTGACTGCCCAGCGCAAAGCTAACGAGATCGGAATTTTATCTAATTTCCTCATCGCCCATTTTATGGGGCTAGTTTCTGTTGAAAGTTCAGTTTTTTTATATGAATATTGAGGTTAAGAGAAACAATTGTGAGTTTTGAACATTCATTTATATTTTTTTTAAAGTTCAAGTTACCTGATGATTGTCAAGTATCTGCATAATTTGTTTCATTAGGATCGGTGTTTAGATAAAATTGTATTTACAGATTAAAACATATCATAAAAATGGAAAGGGCTAAGATACCACTTTTCTAGAAACTTCATGTGTTTACTGTTTCAATTGTGACAATATGATTTATGTTTATACGCATCATATAATCGTGAATTTGGACGTCAATCGTATTTAATACAAAAATATTCAACTATCTTTGTACATTGTATTGTAAACATAGCAACAACAGTGATTAGCAATAACCAATGGATATGAGTCATATCTTAATGTATCTGCTTTTCGTGTTAAAAAAAGCATCGATTGATTGATTTAAACTAAGTCGCGACCACATTTTTCTTTTTTCATGTAATGTACGCGTATTATTTTTCTCGAAAAATATTCGCAACACTTTTGCAGAAAAAATCATGATCGATAGAAATTCCTTTTTGAGAAGCTAAACGAAACCGGTATTTCATATTCATTGCACGATCAATTGCTGGAAATTTGTTGACGATTGCTGTGCTCATATTAGAAGGAGATTGAATTTATTTTTACCCGAAGTGTTGCTATTATAAATCTACGCTGGATTGTACATGACATTGCTATTAGGAATTTACCCAAAACTCATTTCAATATTCGGAAAGTTAAAATTTCCAGAAAGTAGAAGCATTTACTCATATCTATGACTGACAGTTTTTATATTTTGTGCAGCAATTAATTTGAATAACTACATACAAAGTTCCCCCTAAGATGCGCGGTCGCACAGCTGGCCGAGAATTCCCGCGCAGTACTTTAGTTCTGCTGCGCACTGCATGAGTATTAAAATGTTTTTTTCTATTTTTTCTACTTTTCCGCGCAGGCCTTTTTTGGAGCTCACATGGCCTTCTAATCCGGGCAACTAAGCAAGCTTTTAGAGGGAATGTGACTACGTACCATAATTATACCAACGTATTTTCAACATACATCTACTTGTTTTTTATAACTTACCTGAGTATGTTCATGGAATCAAACCTATTTAGGAAGAAAGATTTCGACCCAACGCATGGAACAAGTTACGCACGTGACAAACGTACGTACTCACGCAAGACGCAACATCATTGGTCATCTAATGACGTGCTGGCACTAACTGCATGCATAATCTCACGGTATTCGGTCATCAAATTTGGTGATTTTTGACGGTTGAGTCATTTTAAAAAGATATTATCTGAAGGTAGATGTCTGCAAATGCGGAATAAAAACTCAGTGATCCAACAAAACTAAAGAGCATATAAAGAGCGTTTTTTATTATTTGCAGCATCCTAGAATCCTTAGCCCAACAAGGAAATCCACCTCCGAGAATGAGGTATTTCCGGTCCAACATGCCATTCAACATGAGTTTTGAAAAAATACGTCATTTGCATATTAAATTGCAATGCAAGGCAAAAAATACCATCCTCAGTCTTTGTTAAAGTCCACGCATGTGTTCCGGCATAGAAAGTCCGTTAAACTGATGTATTGTATATGGCCGCGCGAATATGTGCACATGCATTAATTAGTTCGTATGTTATTAGTTATTTGTCGGCTAATATAAAAACGTTGATTAATTACTTTTTTATCATTTTAAATACAATCCATGCAGCTTCAACGGAGTGTTTGCATCCCATAATTATTATCTGTGATTTTCTGCCGTTCCTCTTCCTTCGATATATCTGTGTTGAATTGTTACGTGCGCCCAAGAACGATAATTTATATATTCAAATGTTCATAAAATTGTCAAATATTTCGTGTCGCAAATCATATTTAGTGTTTTGATTTCACTTTCAGTTGGTAGAGACAACGCGTTCTGATTTGCGTTTAACGACATTTTTGTTTACAAGTATGTGACGGTCGCGCTTCAACTTTTGACGAAAAAATGCCGAAAACAAAAACACTAGATTCATCGAGAATTATTGTTATGGAATATGTTAAGATCAATGTTGTTGCATACAAATTCATTGCAAAAACATTTACTTCAACAACTGTCGTTTGAAACCATTACCGATCAATATAATGTTTCGTTTCTTATCTCCATATCTATGTATTAAAATATATTGATACTAACTAACTCAAGGAAGGATATTTTGATTTTAGGGCGCAAAAGGCGTAAAATTCGAAAGGTCGGGCAGTGGCGATGAATCACGTAAATGGCGAAGGCAAAATTGAGAAATAATTATTTGAAAGAAACTGCGAGGTAACCGAAATTGAAAGTGCGTAAGGATGTTTGAAAACATATACAGAATAGTAAGGAATACGAACCGGTGACGCAGCAATGGACTTGGCGAACGTGTGTTTGTAAATTTAGAATCGGTATGTATGTATATGCAGTTGAATGTGGAGAAACGTCGTTATTATTTCCATGAATGCCATTGAGTAAGGCTTACGACCAATACTTATTTTACCAAGAGTTTGTACTCAAATGACCAAGATGATGAAAGCGTGCTACACGGAGTGTAAAATCGCATGGGAGATGGTTGCCTTCCCACTTCCATTTTTCGATTGAAACACCAAGTTTCGTTACACTCTCTCTATCGAAAAATGTTTTGCAGACATTTGTCAGCTATGACTTGACAGCGTTTGGGAATGAATTAACTTCTGATTCCATGAGACCCATGAAATGCAGCCAACACGCAAAAAATACATTGTTGAGAGACCCAATGAAAATAACAGCCTCGTGTGAATGGCTAACTGTCACTAATCACTATGACATAAACCACAATAATATAATTCATCGCGCTGTGATTTATTCGTTTATATTTGACGCATTGTGGAACAAAAGAAGACAATAGATTTTCTAAAACTATGTACAGGATCAGGCTTCTCAGATCTGAACAATCCTTCATGAGAATGTCTTCCCACCAGATTTCCTGCGATTGCTAAGAATCTACAAGCTACCAGAATTTGTGGGTTATATCGTGTGCGTAACAGTTTTTTTTAATGTGTGCCCTCGAATGATAATATCAATATGACTAACTAACGGCAATACATTCAACAAATGCGAGGAGAACATTTATCGAGAAAGTTGGCATTGGTCATAAAGAATGGCGTGTTTGGAATAATAAGAATGAAAACCGAATAGGCCGTCCGTGATTCATTTTGACAGATGACTTTCCGAATCCTCCCTGAATAGAGTTTGTCGTAGATATCTATCCAGTTTTCTCTCAAATTGCTAATTTTAGAATTATTATTCATTGGTGAGCTGTCAACAGATTGCAAACAATAGTTTTTTATTAATTTCATGATTTTTGAGAATTATTCAGCTAACTAACCAACATAACTGAGAAAGTCTAAACCACGAATTGTGGACTTGATTGTTTTTAACAATTTATGTACAACATCTCCAACACAACAGCGAATTCATGTTAGCCCCAACACATGTATACGGGTTCAACTTGATCTTGGTGAAAAGTCACCACTATAATTTTACATTTCTGAATTTCAGTAGCTGTCAGTACTTTAATGGTTGCGTCCCTATAAGTTGGGTAAATTTTCTCAAACAATTTAACTTGGGAGACAAGAACTTCAAAAGAATAAGAACAGTATTCGATTTATCGTTCCAAAACGTTTTACTTTATTATATAACGTTGAACTTCACATTTGAAAAGTTTGTTATTCAAACCCATTCGAATAATTATATAGAATATACATGAATGATTATTGACTGATCGAACACTTTGGATTCATTGCTTCTATTTCTCGACATGTCTTTGTGAAGCTGTATTTTTGTGAAATTGACAAATTTATGATATTAGTTTAAAAGACTAAGTAAAACTTTCTAAAGTAAGTAAAAGGGTCTTTCATTTCTTGGCAATATAACGATACGCCAATACGTCCAAGTTAATATCTCTGGAAATAAACGACCGGGACCGACATCAAATAGAATAGAATCAAATAGAATAGAAATAAATAACCATAAAGGACCGACATCAAATTTTGATATATAGATCTGCAAGAAAAAAAGCAATGATAATCTACTCTACGGTTTATAACTTCGTCTGCTAGTATTACGTTTGTTTAAAATAATTTACGAAAACAAGAATCAAATGTTTCCTAATATAACGGACAATGATGGCTGGCAGGATGGGTATGAAGTTTTGAAAATTTACGGAAGTTTAGTAACGAGATGTGTAATAATATATAATATAAGAACATAATATAAGAAAATTCGCTTTACAAGTGTGAACCAATTACTATTTTTGCTCTAATTCCCCCGCTCCGATTAAAATGCATTACCTTGTCAAATTCCATATTCCATATACCTTCCGCATGCTTTGTTCAAAGTGATTCCATACGATTATTATTGAAAGCGTGAAACCAGGATAAAATTATAAGCGGATTTGCGGTTTTCGTTTGCGGCTGATTGCGTCGTGCGTCCCACGCATTTTTTGCTCGAGTCTTGTGATGATTCTGACCTATCTTATGCGAATAAACATACTTCCGCCACTTTTGGTCAGAGTTATTTTTAGCATCCGATAGACTTTAAATACTGGTGATCCGGCAACAATAATTTAGTTGCGCTCATGGAAGCGACTGGCATCGACCTAAAATTGAAGAAACCCATTGTAAATGTAAAATTGCAAACGGATTTCTTCCACATTATGCCAGGTCGGACATTTTATGTCTTGAATATGTAAACCTTTGTAGCGATTCACTCCAATATTTTGCTCGATCCCAGCAGTTGATATGATATTTATTTATCCACTGGTGATTTTGAAAACGTAAATTTAAATATCATGTGAAGCGTAAGGTACGTCACGGAACTTGATGGGCTCGAACTCGATGGGCCACTAAATTTAATTTATATTATCGGACAATAAAAAATTAGGCTACTGCATCACCGCATTTGTAGCTTTTTATTCGCTATGTGTGCGTTACGATCGAATTTATTTCACCTATACAAAGAAACTCTTTTGTCGCAAATACGCACATTTTTATGCATGACGTCAAAGAATTCAATCAGGAATTATTCGCAAACTTTGGAGTATGGTCCATAGAAAAATTGATCTATCATGTCGCAATTTTTTTATTACTTAGGCAAAGTGGAGAATGAATTTTTTGACTTAGAAATATTTTAATGTTTGATGTAATACTGCAACAGAAATTAGGCAATAGCTTAAATTCAGAAAGTGACCAAGAAACCAAGCTGAGACTTATGTATTTACACAAAGTACGCTGCTTTAAAACCACTCGGAGAGGAGAATTTTGATTCTATGTACAAGATTGTATTTTAGGCACACGTATGTTTACAGGGATGATATTGAGTGGTAAAAGATGGGCCTTGAAGCAAATTTGCCGAATGCATCGTTATTTCGTAGTTACTAAAATTACCGGTATTATGTAAATTTGCTCCGAAATTATCTATCTCTTAAATATATATTGCCAATACGACTTAACAAACCAGAAAAACCGCTGCCGTCTGGCGTTACAAATATTGATACGTGAAAATATCATGTAATTTTACTTATTCTTAAAAGTGAGCGTAAGGTCACGACTTCTGACTATAGTTTTATATGATTTTGTTGATCTTTATGTTTTGCAATGAGAAGTCACAGGGACAGGCAGGTATGAGATACCCTTCGGTATAAAAAAGACAGTTATCCAGTTTATTTTTACAATCGATTCTTCCCTGTAGGCAAGTTATTGCAAAGGATTGTTGAATTCGTTGCTCGTCGATTACGAGCCCCATGTCATGGTAAGGATCGTTTGCTAAATAGCCGTTCTACATTTACGGTTGTTTATATCTACCAGTGATGTTAAGATTGAAGCTTTTAAATAATCGAAATTAGCCTTATTATTATAGGTATTATGAAACCAGCTAATCACGTCCTGCATTTTATCGTGTACTCGCGGTTGCATAAAAGGAATTAATGAAAAAACAAGCGAAGAACATCTTTTGTTTATTATTGGTGTCATGTTTAGCTATTCCTTGCCACACCGATATAATGAAAATACTTTGTGAAGAATGCTTCCCACAACAAATTCTGATTCTAAGTAAATTGAGTATTGGAAAACAATATTAGTAGGCTTTGAAACAAATACAATAAATTGACTGATATAGACAGACGCTGAATAGACCAAGAACTTTATTGAACATAAAAAATGTACAAGCAATACATGTATATTTAGTTCATCTTATATTTAATTTAACAACACTTTTCAGCGAATTTGTATATTACATTATGAGGTTGTAATACTTATTTGTACTTCAGAAAATATAAATTAATTTAGTTTTAAATTGCTTTCAAACGTCGGGATTATGGATTTAAGATCGGCATTTATTAAGTTTCTTGTTCTGATACTTTCTTCTACTTTCACAAGGTAATAAATGTTTTCCTGTTGATATGATATTCACATAAATACAGTAAATATTCTGATGCGTAGATGAAATCTAGTGTTATTCTAACAAATATTTATTTCTAACAATACGGTGTTTTATCTCTTCCTTGTTCGTGTAAATTGTTAATAAATGAATTGTTCGTTTTGGTTCTCGAGAGCTAATAACATATCGTTAGTTTAGTAATTTTCAGCATAAAAGACTACGAAGTGGAATCCAAATTCGAAAGATTTTCTTTTATTCGTTTATAGATTAAATGGTTTTCTTTTTGTACTGAGATCATTTTTACATCAGTTTGCTCTAAGTTTATAAAGAAATATAATTTGACTGAAACATAAACACATATGGAATCTTTCATATTAAATTACAAATCAGAAATTAATTCGTCCTACAACTGTTATTTATTACAATCTAATTGAATGAGTGAACCCGTATAAAATATCTCATAAGTGCTTGATTAAAAATTCTGAATTAATATTTCCCAATATTTGAAAACGTTTCATGCTATCACCAAGTACCGTCCCCATCATTAATAAACTACCATATTTTTTAAAAATTCTACCGAAATTTTACATATATTACGACACACTATCTTGCTGGTCGAAAGACGGTTTTGTGGCTGTCTCGGTGAATTCCAACGGACCAACATTATTTAAAAATAAAGGGATGTTAAACATCACTTTCGATGTTATCCTATTCATATACAGTTAACAATTTTATTTAAAAGGCTTACAATCAGGGTGTGTTGACATTAGAAATAGAAAAAATGATGCCGATTTCATGTTTAAAACTTCAATGTGACGTTGATGGTAAATAAATTTCCCGGACTTTTATTATTATGTACGTTAACGATCGAACACCATAAAAAATATCTTGTCTTACGTTTCAAAAATATAATGCTGTGTTTATTTTTGTTTAGTTCCATGCCAAGTCGAAGATTTATGCCGAGACTAATTTCTAAAGGTATGTGTACATGGGTTAATCATATTGTCATGGGGTACAACTTATACATATTTATATATATATATAAATATATAAGTTACTACTTCATAAATATCATATGTTTGCAATGTATATCTGTAATCTTACAGAGTACTTATGTTATTTTTAATAGGAAGCAAAGATACGAACGGAAGAACGTGAGTCATATTCAAAAATTTTGTAAAATACCTTATATTCTTTACGTTAGAGCAGTTCTAGCGCGTTATCATGGATGTACATTATCAATGTTATTCTAAGCCAGCTCGTATTCTAACTTTTTCCAACAATTCCTAGAACTGTTCTTTAATAACTAGGAAATCTTAATCTCCAGTATCCCAGCCATACATAATATATATATATATATATATATTCATACTAAAAGCAAATATGAAACATGCTTGCGAAAAATGTTTTTCAAAGTTATGCAATATAGTAAACATAAAAAAGAAATGATGGAAATAGACAGTAAAACATTAGGGAAATAGAATTTTTTTTTGTTTTGTTTTGTTTTTGACTTCATGGTTACTAAGAAGTAACGAGAATTTGGGCAATGATTCTGGTTTTGGTCGCTCAGATACTGTCTTCGTTGAATTGTTGTGAAGACAAAACCCCAATAACTAAAAGCAATGTAGTCAAGTAAACACTGGAAGCGATTTATTAGTACTTAGACCAAGGATAAATGTTCATTTGCTTTAAGCGAACTTGGAAATGCGTTCCAGAAAATTAATTGCATTTAATTTATTTTACATGTGCTGTTTTGGGATATGCAGTGTCGCAGGTAAGATACTTTTTGTAACTTTTGTTCTTTACTATGATTAACTTCAACTACAATTTGATATAAATTTTTTGACGTAGACATAGGGAACCTTCATTTCCTGTAGTTCAAAACCACGAGAATTGTTTTAAGCTATTCTGGCCACGTAGGAAATTCATTCATTCGTGTGTATATTGTTTGGGCTGACAAAAACATAAATAATCCGACTCGTCTTGTTGCAATTTGTAAATGAAGTCTTTCCTCAAAGTTCACTGCAACTTTTATTTGCTCAATTCGAAACGCAGACAGACGTGCGTCGTTTTTAGAATCTGGCATTTTCTTTATAGTATCGTCACATACACAATATCAACCGTGTTTTATATGACGCCATCAGCGACTTCGCGTCCACCCGGACCTACGTAATATCCACATAGTAACACTAGAATTAAAATCAGCACAACCGATCAGAGCGTCGCATACGCATATGCCCAAACATTGATCAAGAAAACAAAGATCTGGTGACAATTCGAAGAAATATAAGACAAGATTTTTTTTCTGTTAGCAGAAATCTAAATATAAGCAAAAATTCAGTCTACTGACAATGCAATTGGATACCGGATACTTCCATTCAGTGGACCCAGACAAATTTTTCGTCTCGTAATCTACGTCATTTCAGAAAGTGACGTCACAGACGAATTATAAACGTCATTCCGGTTGCCAATTGATTTTACACCAACACGCTATAGACATGTACAATTGATTTCCCACATGCCACGAATAGATCAAAAAATTTAAAAGATGCGGTGAATCATGTACAATCTCTACCGCTATCTCTACAATTGATACTATTAATAGATTTCGATATCAGTGGATCAAAATGACTATTTATTTTTCAGAATTGTATCAGTGCCCCCAAGTTGATTTCCATAGCAGAATCAAAAGAATGACAGGTATAGTGTGAATGAAATTCGTTGCATTGGATAGATATACCATGTATGAGTATATACTTATTTATCGAACAGGAACTGAATACGCGGATATTGCGTATATAAGATGTAAGGTTTCCCTGTAATACTATAAAGTCTTCAAGTCGATGTATGTAATTACCATAGTCTTTCCCACAAATGATCGGAATTCGCAAATAATTTTGCGCATTGGCAGCATTCAGCGACTTCGATAAACGTGACCTTATATGACATAAAATAAACACAATAAAACAGTAAGTACCAAGAACTGATAGATTGTGGTTCGAGATAGTGCTACGGATGTATCATTTGAATAAAGAAATAAAAGCTCATTGATTGCACAAATTTTACATACCATGTTTTGAATTTTTTAATCCACGATAAAAAAAAAATGGTTATTACTGACTTTAAGAGTAAGATAATGGTGGTCTATTTTGACAATTGATATATTGATAAATCAGTCCTAAAATAGTAAATTCTCATCTGGATGCTAATCTAGCCATACTTTTACAACAAACACATTAACCAAATTTATAACCACGTTTTTTAATTTAGGAGGATCAACTATTGCACCCGGGGACCATCCGTCGTTCGTTTTTATCACAGAAAAATCGACTGTTAACTGTGGTGGAATATTAATCAGATCTAATATGGTTGTCACAGCTGCACATTGCTTTTTCGATGTTAATAACGAAGATGAATGGTAAGTAATGTGTGACCCGTCAAACATCATCGATTTGGTTTGAAAAGTTCACATACTATTTTAATATTCTGGTGGAGCAATGTGATATAACATATATTAAACTAATTTGTTACGCAGCCAAGAAATGAAACACCGAACGATTTATGCAATCCGAGGAACAAATAAAAATGATAGAAGTGAGATCACACACGTTTTCCGACATTCAGAATTCAACGTTTTTGCAAATAATGCAAATTTATACAGGTATGGTATTCGTTTTGCCCATTTCAATTATGTCTTTTATTTAGTACGTCTCTCATTTCTATACCAGTTTATTTGTCGTACAATTTTAGTTTTTAATATTTTAATTACAGTGAAATTTCTATTTATTTTTAGTCACGACATCGCAGTCGCTCTCCTCCGTGATCCAATCGATATATCAAGTCAGCCAATCTGTTTACAAAATGGACTGATACCAGCTCCATCAGATATTTGCTGGGGCCTTGGAAATGGGAACCTTGGTAAAATTATTAACTTCCATCTCGTAACATTCGATTGATTTAATTAAACTATGTCTCGTCTTTATATTAGACTGATAGTATCAACTGAATTTACACACGTTCATTGTCTTTTCACATTCGTGGGTTTGCTCAAACGCCTACCTAACAGCCTCAGTGGGTCCCGACCTTACGCATTAATTTATGTACCTCTCAGTTCTTGGAAATAAGCGCCAACTTTTTAGAGTCGTACAAACTACAATAGATAAATACACACAGGAGGTAAGCAATGTTGCATTCCAACTCTATTTTTGTTAATTTCGTCAGATAACACAAAAATTCAGGATGCTGAGCCACATGTTAGTAAACTTGAGGTTGGACAATGTACTAAAACCGGACATCGCCGTCAAAGTTATACAAATAGTAGAATACTTTGTGCATCAAAAGGTCCAAACGAGGTAAGAAACAATAAGTAACAGAAAAGTGGAGAATTTCTCACTAAAGCTCTGTTCAATTTGCTTTTTTCTCGCTATTGTTTATCTAGGTTTATTTGGGTTATACTCGGGTACATTATTCGTTTGACTCAAATTAATATCTGTCAGTGTATATCTATTTATTTACATAGTCACTTGGTCCATTACAATGCTATTGATTTAATTAAAAGGTTGTAAGTAGGCTACTTATTATGATCTCTGTGTTGTGGGGAGCTGAGAGTTGTTTAAAAAGTCTTTTGAATTCTGTATTAGAAATTTGAATAAACCTCAAACATCACATTAGCTCTATGTGTGCTTAAAGTCTCCTTTCTATTCATATTAAAATAACTAAACTGGCACATTTTTGACAGGGTGATAGTGGTGGTCCAGTAATTTGCAGTCGTTCCGGACAATATTATCTCGCTGGCATAATGGCTCAAGCATATACAAATACAAAACAAACAATTTTTACAAACATGATGAATGATAGTCTCTGTGCCGAATGGGTCTTAATTAAATTAAATGAAAGTGTCAGTGCTTTGAAATCCACGTGTTCTCAACTTCAGTTTGGAAGAAAATAGCGTTTTCCGCCTTGGCTCATAATCTATTCATAAGATACATTCCGCCGTGAAATTTGCCTCACGGGGGTGCAATATATGATAATGCAACAAAGTGCAATATTAGATGGAATTTTGTGATGAAGTATCAGAGCATAAAGATTTTAAAGGACGATTGGACAATTTGCCAAATTATTTGTAATCAGTGGTGAGATTCAAATTTTTTTTCAGCCGGTTCCTTCTCAAAAGTCCTATTTTTCAGCCGGCTCTGTTACAAACAGAACATTTACAGTAACCAGTAATGCTTACCGGTTCGTTGATCTCATAAAATTCAACGAGACGGTTCTTTAGAACCGGTGCGAACCGGCTGAATCCCACCACTGTTTGTAATATCTGGGTAAAAACTGTTTCCTTCAAAAATAATTTAACTGAAACAAGTCTGAGGTAATGCCATGTTTTAATGCTTACGATTACTCGTTCTGTAATTCCTAATTTATATGTATAGCAATTAACTATAAATTATATCTATTTATATATTTATTTATATTTATTATTTATCAAATCCAAACTTATTTGATATGCTACTGGCGGAAAGACAAAACATTTATTCTATTATACATCAATGATATACTTTTATTTGAATATTATTAAGACTACGGAAACATTGGTGGTCAAAAGTACAATAGAGTACAAATAAGTGTTTTTTACTAAATTTTTGACCCCGAAGACAAATAAAGAATCATTTCAAAAGCGTTTTGTGGAAAGACGCAAGAATAAACACTAACATTTACTACCCAGCTTTTCATAATAAAACCACATTTCGCCGGGTGTTGTCATTTTCTCTATAACTCTTCACAGGTACATAATTTTTACAATCATTTTCATATAAAAAGTTTAATGTCATTTATCTGGTACAAATTGATAAAATACTTTCTTACTGTCTTGAATTCGTTCCCCAGTGCAATACTCAAATGTAGTGCTTTCATGTACGCAAAAACGATTAGCAATGTAGTTTGGGCATTTTTATTCTATTTATTTATATTATTATACAGTATACTATTTAGTGTTATATTTCTTTATATATATATAAATAATCGTATATATATGATTATTCCAGCATTCAAGCAATAGCCATCACCAACAAGTGTTTTATAGCAGTGCAATGGCCTGTCGTGCAATAAATAATAACGATATATCGAGTTTATCCTCTCGTGTGTTTGGTAGTTGCTGTATCGAGATGGGACAGAGTCTTATTTGAATACCAAAAATCATATACTTTCTCATATAAATACATGGTACCGGATGATATTGAAGAATCACGCTCAACTAAATGCTAATGAGTTTTCAATGCGAATTTATTCGAGGCAAGGTCTTACGCCATCATTAATAAGAGGAAAGCGTAATGAACAAAAGTTCACAGGTGCGATGAGAGTTAGGAATGAATTCATATTTGCTACAAAGATAAAAAGTGGTTGACACAATAATCTGAACCAGGGTGTGCAAACTGCGGCCCGCGGGCCAAATGCGTAGAAGGGTAAATACACAAAGTTGTTTTGGGAAAAACACTTTCACCACAAAAATGTCGTAACAAGCGCGATCACCGAGTCTAGAAAGACAATAGACGAAACGATACATAGGTTCATGTCGTTTCCAATACTGTGAATTTATTTTTCCCCGCCTCGAGCTGAATTCAGCTCAATCGGGATTTCTCCGTCCATCCTTTGGCTCTTTAATATAATCTCTAATGCAGCGGTTCCTGTTTGTTCATGAGTAAACACACAACTGTTCGGGATGCTTGAGTATATTATGAATTTAACATGGGCATCAGAAATCATAGCACAAGGCAGCATGCAGTATAGTGAGACGACCACGTCTATAACTCTGTTTTATTCTGTTCGCCCATATTTATTCTTACCACTTGAGTCACTAGTGAACAACTGTGTAACTTTCTCTTGTAGCTGGTTTGTCAGACTGCCGGCAGTGTAGATTTTCCTCTGTGTTTTGGGTTATTATTATAGTGTTTTCGTGCCGTTAATCTGTGTAATTCTTGTTGTGAAATGATATTAGTAGTACAGGTTTACTATTTCTCCAGTTTGGCATAGCTCTGTTCACTAGTTAGCTTGTATTTAACACTTCCGTAACTAGTCTATTTTCGCAGTTTATTTCCTGTGTGATTTCTATGCGTATTTCCATGTATATTACGTGTTTGTCGATAAGATAGGATTGTGTTGTATCTTTAGTGTCATACTAGTTATTCTTATGTATATCTAGGTATGTTTTACCCGGTTTTTAGTATCCCATTATAAGTAAATAGTTCATGACTGTGACGTCATAGACCAATTCCGTATCTTGTGTTACGTATGTATCCTACGGTATTTGTACTGGGTTTTTATTTGTTTATTGTATTTCTTATTGGAGTATTTGGTTGTATTAAGTTCTTACAGGTGTATAATTAATCTAGTTAGTTAACTTAGTTACTCTGCTGTAATTGGAACCGCAAGAAGATTGGTTTTGTGAACGAACATCTATGCAACTCAGTGTCCGATAAGCTGGCAGAAAAGAACCTGAGTGGTGATATCAATTTTGGTACGCCACATATACGAATTTTTGGCGAGCACACGCCAGGATATATTGTTTGACACAGGGACTATTAAGACTAAGCCGATTAAGTAGGCTAGTCTGTGACGGATAATATTTGGACAATATTGGACATTGAGGTTGCCGAATTCTTTTTTTAATTGCGGTTGCCTGATATTTTGGAAAAAATGGTTAAGAGAAGAAAGATTGTACCGGCACAAAAGAAGCCAAAGGGAGAAGAACTTTGCATCTGCAAATACAGTATTGAAAGGCAAAATTGAGGAGTCAGAGGAAAAGCAAGAGGAAGACTGACAGCCGTTTGCCAACTGATAGACAGTCGCATGCAACAGATGGAGGTTGTGTACAACAGATTGGACAGTCAACTAGAATCAGTTGAATTCCAAAATACAAAAAATGGGCTCGTCATTTGAGCAGATGTACAGCATTCTGCAAGATATTTCTGGCGTGGTTAATAAAGGAAAAATTGGCTGATCCTGAGAAACCCAGCCCATGTCATATGACACAAATGTCAGCCTGATAACTTCAACACCAGCAACAGTTGTTCCAAAAGCAGCACCTGTTTCTCAAGCATGATGAAATTTCTGATTTTGGATCAGAAGATGGACAGCCAGAAGGAAGCGGAACGCGTTTCTCACAGACATTAGAAGTGAAATTTTTTGGAGAATGTCATGTGAGTAACCTTGCACCTACAATTCCTTTTTTGAATGATAATGGTAATGAGGGCACAAATGTCAGAAGGCAACTTAGTACTAGGCCGAAAATGGTTACAGTGGCTACACAATCAGCTCCTCCAGTGAGCGCTAGTAGTTGTCTCAAATGCCAATGTTAGTCGTAGTGTTCTCAATAGCACAGCTAATGCTACGATGATGGCAAGAAATGCCAAAAAGCCAATGTATTTCGATGGATCCACTGTCATGGACGATGGGCCCAGTTTATTTATGCCATTTTGAATTGGTTACCAGTTATAATCAGTGGGATGACGACACTGCGGGATTAGAATTGGCTACTTTGCATGACAGGTCAAGCTCTAAATGGTTGAAGATTTACCAGATATGAAACGTACTGCTATCGTGATATTGTGGCTCATTTCAATCATTTCTTCAAACCTGCCGGAAATGAGAGCTCCTACCGTACTACATTCACTGTCGTAGGATTAAGCCAAATGAAGCGCCACGGATTACGGTAATAAGTTGAAAGAGCTTGTTATTTCTTGCCTACCCAAATCTGGATATTACTGGTCAAGGATGATATTTTGAAATCCGCAATTTCTTGCCGGTCCTAACCGATGAAAGCATGATCAAGCATGTTACCATGCAACAGCCTGATACTTTCGAAAAGGGCTTTTGTCTCTTTGCGACAGCTGGTCATATACTCTGATTGATAATAACCACTCCGAAGGGACCAAGAACATGTCTAAACCGCGCATTGCAGCTAGTGAGAACAGAGCAATACTGGTAATGTAGTTAATCAGCAAAGCGACTTTTCTCTTGAAGACAGTATCAAGTTACTTGTACAGAAACTGGATGAGATATAGGATATGTTAAACCGCGTGCCAACAATCGCAATTTTGATGGTGTACCACGCAACCCGTGTCCTCGATGTGGTAAACATGGTCATTGGGGCAGGGATTGCAAGGCATGTTTTAATTGCAAGCAGACTGGTCATCTTAAACGGGATTGTCCACATCTTCAGAATCCCGCTGATCCTGCAACAGCTGCTTCCTCTTCGACCGCAAATTTAAACGACACTCAGCGGGCTTGAGGTCCTCAGTGTCCGCTGAATTATTACTTGATGACGGACCAACGAACCAGAATATAGACCTGAATATTTGTTCCTTGCAATATGACAATAGTTGGCATGCGAAGGTACTTGTAAACAATCAACCGTTCAATTTTCTTGTAGATAGTGGTGCTATGACTACTCTGATCGACATTTCCATCTTTGAGGCTATAGGTGGGAAAGAAGCACATTTAGCACCGCTCGAAGAATCTCTTGTTGCAGTGGGAGGACATGATTTATCACCACTGGGTACATTGGAAGTTGATTTGTCTATTGATTCTTTTGCATCACGACGCACTGTTGTTGTTGCCAACCTAGGTATGTCTAATGGTATTTTGGGCATGGACTATTTCCGAGAACATGATTGCGTTCTTTACTTATCATCTGGACACATGATGATAGAGGGTCATGAAATCAAACTGTTTACTGAAAAGTCTGTACCGTGTTGTCGTGTAACTGTTCGAGAAGATATTACTATACCGCCATATTCTAAGGTTGTTATCCCTGCACAACTTAGTCGTCCTTGGCCGAAAAGCAATTTGTCTGACGTTGCTGCTCTTGTTGAACCGCTGAATTCTTCTTTCCTCGCTGATGGCATTCAGCTGTATTCTTCTGTTGTGGATCCAGGAAAGTCCACTGTTCCTGTTCTAGCGGTGAACCAAAAAGGCAGACAACTTAAGATCAGGGCTGGATCTTTGCTTGGTATTGCACATCCTCAACTTGTAGCACAAATTCAAGTTGACGAATCCGATAATCGGGTTATAGCTTCTGAATTACCAGAACATCTACATGACATGGTCAATTCCGTTGAGGATCTAACCCCGAGTCAACGTGAACAGTTGGTCAATTTGATTTGTGAATTCATGATGTATTTGTAGGCCAGATGGTGAACTTGGCCGTACTTCAGCAGCAAAGCATAGGATCATCACAACCACACCACAGCCGATTCGGCAGGCTCCTCGTCGAATGGGGTGGGCGCGTAGGAAGATAGCCGAAGAAGCTGTTGATAATATGCTGGCTCAGGGTGTCATAGAACCCAGCGATTCCCCATATTCTTCTCCCATTGTCCTAGTTCCCAAAAAGGATGGTTCTACCAGATTTTGCGTGGATTTTAGATTGCTTAATGACGTCACATACAAGGACGCATATCCCTTGCCGCGTATTGAGGATATCATTGAGTCCTTAAACGGAGCACAATGGTTCTCAACTCTTGATCTCGCTAGCGGATATTGGCAAGTGGAGGTTGATCCTGCAGACCGTGAAAAGACAGCATTCAGCATCCCAGGCCGTGGTCATTTTCACTTTGTAGTGATGCCTTTCGGTTTGGCGAATGCTCCCGCAACATTCGAACGGATGATGGACAATATCCTTGGTGATCTCCTGTGGAACGGGTGTTTCAATTTTCTTGATGATGTTTTGGCTCATGGTAGTGATTTCTCAATGGCACTCTCAAATCTTCGGGAAGTTTTTATAAGACTTCGCCGTGCCGGTTTACGCTTGAAGCCCTCGAAATGTAAACTTTTCCGTCGAAGCACCTCTTATCTTGGTTATCTTATTTCATCTGACGGTGTCTGTTGCGACCCTGGAAATGTTGCGGCTATAAAGAATGGAAAACGCCAAATTCTGTCAGCGATATTCGTAGTTTTCTAGGCACAGCGAACTACTACCGGAAGTTTGTTCAAGATTATTCAACAATTGCTGGACCTCTTATTCGATTGACCAGGAAGAATATTTCCTTTGTATGGAGTACTGAATGTCAAAAGGCTTTTGAAACTTTGAAGCATTGTCTGACATCTGCCCCAATTCTTAGCTTTCCG